CAGCTTATTGGAAAGGTCACAAATATTACACATGTTTGTATGTAACTGCGAGGGGCTAGTAAAGATTACGTACATACAAAAAAGTATAAAGCCCCGGGGTATTATTCATTTAATTGTGACCGTTTTTTAAGTAGGCTGCAAAAAAAGTCCCCAAAGCACGTCAATTTCCGCGCAATTGGAACAACCTTTTCTGTGATTAATCGCATAAATTATTAATATGCCCAAATGTTTGCCCGCGATCAACAATATTCTCGACCTGTCGCAGCGCAATTTGCAGTGCAATGTTTCCATGTTTGTATGCGTATGTGTGTGTGCGTGTGATTATGTATGTATTGAGTTGGATTAATCGGCTGGCGCTTCGCTTCAATTGTGTAATCCCATCGCTATTGCTGTTGCTGTAGTTGTTGTGTTTGTCAGTCATCGCGGGTTTTCTCTTTGCGTTGTTTGCGCAGCGGGCGGCGCTGCAGTGTGTGTAGTGTGCGTTTCGCAAGTTAAATTGTTTATTGTTCGACATTCATTAATTGCATATGTAAAAAGTGTTAAAAACATTCGTTAGTGCACATGTGAAGTGTGAAAACATGATGTACACAAGCTGCAAAGCAATAATAAAACAATAAAGGAAATGAAATGAAAGTTGCATAAGATTTCAGCCGCAGTGTGACCGTATCAAAAGTCTTGCAAAATACCTATGATGAGCTCTTCAGTGATTTGAGTGGCGCAAGGTTAACTTAATTGTAAGTTTATGAGCAATCAGTAAGAATTGCAATACGATAATTGTAAAAAACATTTTGATTAAATTTTAGGTGGAGCTGCATGGCGCTAATAAAATAATAAAAGACATCGCAGTGAAAATGGAAGGCGCTGTTGTGGATCACAATAAGGTATGTGGAACGCATTTCTATTTACAATTTGAAAGTGCTTAGAATTAATTTCACTAATTACGCTTTACATATGTAGCTATTTATAAAATATGTATGTCCATATACACATTTGTATTTAAACTCATGTTTGCGGCGCGTTTGCTTGCGTGTAAAAACATCAATCGCTCAATTCATCAACTTTTCTCTTTTCCCTTTTTGCTGTCGCGGTGTTGTACCTTGACAAGCGTCCTTTTCATTGATAAATGCACAAATTTGTAGATTGTCAATCAGGTTTGTGATCACTGTCCGTCTGAGTGACAGCAAACATACAGAGTGTGGCAAAGGATCTGTCAAGGACATGCCAGGACATGCCGGCACATGTATAGTCTGCAATCTGTTTGCTGTCCTTGTTATTGTTTCTCTCTGTTTCTTTCCACCATTGTCTGTGTGTGTGTGTGTCTTCGTGCAAATAAGGCGCGCCGTGTGTTTGGCTCCTGCGCCGGTAGTCCTGCAACTAAATCATTCGCCTGTTTACAAATGTGTCGCCAGCGCGTAATTCAATCCTTGCGCGCAGGATATGCAGCCGAGGCAGCCGTCGCCAGCGCTTGGCAAACCAATAAATACCACTTAGACGCAGCCGTGCAGGGACTCTCCTGCTGCTGGCTGCTTGTGTCAACAAAAGTCATGTGTCGGCATGTCGCCTGTGTCGTGCCGTCTGTGCATATGCCATGTCCTTTGACACACAAAGGGCGAGGTAGGGACTGGCTGCAGCTGAAGCTGCGCAGGACACGCATAAATTAACGCGCAGCTCCATTGATCCCTGGTCTGCACCTTTGCTCCCCATTAGCACGCGTCCACTTGGGACGCACGCGCAGCATCCACTTGAAAGGATATGCCGAGTGTGAAAGAGAGAGAGGGAGCGAGTGAGTGGTACAAGCTGCACAAAGAATCAGTTCAGCTCAAGTGCAGCCGGAATTGTGGCCGGGTTGAAATTAGTTAAGCCCTGTCAGCAAATCTGATTTAGTGCCAGCTGCTCACAAAAGGATGCTCAAACAATCTGCGCATTATCCTTTGCACTCAGTCAGGCACAAATTATAACTTTAGTGGCAATTTAATTAAGCAATTACAAGGGGTTCTCTCTCTTCGCTCTGCTGTTGCTGCTTTCTCGAGTGTTGATTTATTAACAGATGCTCAGATTCCAATTGAAAAGAGAGACAGCATTCGTTCTAGAGAGAGGAAACATATGTCCCTATGGCATGCTGCATGAAGTTGGATCTCCTTGGAATATTCGGATGCCTCCAGATAGTGTTATTGCTTTCTCCTAATTTTTTCTTTCTTTATGATATATATGTATATTTTTATAACGAAATTTAAACATTTTTATGGAACTTTGAATTATCCTATATCTTCGCTTGTGGTTTTTTGTTTCGAAAGTAAAGTTTTTGGTTTATGAAACATTTTATATACATTTTGTATTTCCCACGAATCGATGCTCGATCTCTTTTCGGAAATTTTTATAGAGTGTTATGCTTCACTAGGTATGCTTTGTTGATCATATACCTGGTAATATATTAAGGTCGCTGGGGTTTATTGGGTTAGGTCAAGCGTTCGACACATAGGGACAGTTCAATTAAATGCGATATTTATATCAGGCTGACACGGACCACAAATTGGAAAATTAGTTGAGTAGTTGGCCAGTTGACCACCAGGCAGGCCGTCAGCTGGCCAAAAGGGCGAGCTTGTGCGAGCAAGTGCAACAGATGGAGAAGTGGACAGAAATTAATAACGAGGCAAACTCGAAAGAAGAATGAGCATAAAATATTCAAGTAATGTCTTGGGCTTTGGGGCAGGGGCCGGGGCAGGGCCCAGAGGCAAATGGCAAGTGACAAGTGGTTCGGTGTGGCTGGTGTGGTGGTCGGCCAACAGCTGACTTCGAGTATCCCCAATACATAGAAGAATCCCCCAATGGCTGTGTCTGCACAATTAATCATGTGCGTCGTTTTGTGATTTTTAACGACTGCGACTGCTGTCAACGCATCCTGCGGCCCATGGCCCATGGCCCATAAAACTGGGATGCGCCCTGATAAATGTGGCTCAAGCAAAGGCAACAGCAGCCCATCAAATAGATTTATTATTGAAAATATTTTTGTGTGCCCTTTTGATTGTTATGGGTCTCCCACTCCCTTTGACTGCATCTCTTCAGCAGTCCATGCCAAATGTTGTGACAGGAGCTGAGCCAAGGGGCAGAGGCCGAGAACAAATGTTGTGTTAAATTTATTTCATTACATTGGCATTTTATGATGACTTGGCGCGTTCTCTTTCGTTTTCTCCTCTCTATATGTGTTGGTTTATATATTTTTGAGGCGTTCGATTTCAGGGCAATAAAAGTGAAAATGTGTCCTTAACACAGGAGCAACAGCAAGCATCAGCAGCAGCAGGAACAGCAGCAGCAGACTCATCTTCAGCATCAGCTGTCGCCTTTGTGCATGGGTCTTTGAACTTTGTCCAGTGACAGCAGCTGACTTCGACAGCTATCAAATGAAATCGAAGACAAGTTGCAGAGCAAGTGGATTCTTGAGCTTGAGACATAAAAAACTTTGTCAGGACTGAAAAAATGATGAAATAACAAATAAGTTTTAGTGTCGCACGCAGCCAGAGGGATCAGAGGGAATGATCAAGAAGCCATCAAATATGAAATGGCTTTAGTTGTGGCTTAAATTATGGAGCAAAGCAATTAAAAGTTTTCGTGTAATACTAAAGATATGGTTAATGAGGATTAAAACTTAAATTTTGCTGTAGAGCTTCTGCTACTATTGTACTTTGGGGGATATCTAAAATACAGTAGCATCCATCAATGGGATAGGCAGAAACTCAGCAATCCCAACTCTCGCTACAAAACTAATTACCCCCCTCTTCGGAAGAAGGAGTGAGGGGAAGGGGACACACACAACACCTTTACACATAATTAGAGGCCTGTTGACTGCGGCGACAATGAATGGGGGATATTAATGGTAAACAGGCAGCAGCGGCGGCGGTGGTAAGAGTCGGTTACCGACCATGTCCAGCTTGTCGGCCATTCATTAATCCACAATCCACAGTCAAGTGCAGACGAAGAGACAGAATGCGAGAGCAGCTATGCTGAGCCGAACTGCGCTACGTGCAACGCGCCTTGCAACGTGCAAACGGCGGCACAACAACAAAGCGCAAGAGCCTATTAGCCACTATAAAGAGGCATCTCTCTGCTCTCAAGACTTCAGTCGCAGTCTCGAGTCCCAATTCTATTATGCTGCTATGCAGATGAATGGGAGTTGGAATTGGAATGGGAATGGGAATGGGACGGGAGTGGGAACGAGAATGGGAGTGTGTGTGTGTTTGCTCGCCAGATGCCATTACAATGTAAATACAAGAAAAGTTCAATCGGCAACTTGATGCGGGTCTCCCTCGGACCACGGGCAAAGTGAGTCGGGTGCGGGAGGAGAAGGCCGGCACACGTAGAAAGCCATTTCATTAGGCACAGACATAGACACAGATACAGACGCAGACACAGACACAGACACAGTCACAGACAGAGCTACAGCCTGAAGCTCTCATCTCCATTTGAGTGGCCCCGACTCTCTGTTGAACAATTGATCAAATATCATAATTTATCAAATGACAATGCGACAAGGCGGCAGCCTCTGTGAGGCAACGGCCCCGATCTCTGTGCCCAGTCGAACTTGTTTGTTTGCCCCAATCCCCACACCCAGACACTATCCACGATGTCTGTGTGTTCTCCCCGCCCCGGCCGCCGTCTCTTCTCTCGTTTTTTGAAAGCTACAACTTAATTTATTTGAACAATTTAGTCTGACACAACAACAGTGCCCAGAATCTAAACAGACCCATTTGGCTTGTCTTGTTCTTATTTATACGTGCGGCCCTGCCCAATGAAGCTATCAAAGCATCTATTTAGCATAATTGCAGTCGAGCCGAGCCACGGCCGTTTGTTCTTTGCCAGCGGCTCGTGGTGGTCTATGATAAAAGCTATACGAGGCGAATCGAGAGAGGGCACCGTGGAAAAGATTGGCGTATATCGGGGCACAATATATAAGGGAAAACTTTGATCAAGTTCTCATTTAGAACACCTAATTTCCCATTACTTAATCCCTTTAGCATTGAATATGTTTGTATATTTTTGATGGAGCGGCTTTTGAGTATTTACTACAAAATTATTTGTTAAAATCCACTTAGAAGACGTTCAATATGGCAAAGCAGAAGGTGGTCGCAAACACCGATTTGGATGCGAAGCCGACCTGCTGCTGTAATTGCAAACGGAAGATCGATCCCTATCAGCTGTTTGAGGACAATATCGAGGATGTGGCCAAGTGTCTAGCCCAGATCATGGTGATCTGCGGCATTAACACGACCAAGGCCTGCAATGCCAAATCGATCATCAAGCGCGCCTTTGTCTATCACGAAAAGCTGAGGACGCGCTGCCCCGCCTCTCCTCCAGTTGGCACGCATTTGCATCGGGACGACATGCTGCAGGCGCTGCGCATCAAGTGCGAAATGGAGAGCGTGGAGGCAATGTTGACGTACGCGATCATCAAGCGTGCCTTCAAGGCATTTTTCCACGGGAAGCCGCCCAGGACAATCAGTAACCCCATACATGATGCCATGGTCATACACACGCAGAAGTCGGCCTGGCTGCATGCCGCCTACAGGACGGCGAGGATCTTTGATAACTACAAGGCAGCCTTCTTTTGGGCTCACAAGGCGTACGAGAAACAGATCACAATTGTCTATCGGTCGCTCTACGATCGGATGAGCGCGCGAGCCAATCCCCTAACAGTGCCCACCTGCAGCTGTCGCAAGTGTGGCAACATGGAGGTGCCTGGGTACCCGAAGCCCGGTGCGAAGGTGCACGAGAAGTTCAAATTGGCGGACTGTAAGGATTTGCCACTGTCCTGCATTCTGTGCGGCCTGCAGGTGCCCAAGATCGAGACTGATGTCAAGGTGAAGCGGCCACGCCCCATCATCAACCACGAGCTGAAGCTGCCTCGCTGCACCAAGTGCAACTCGCCGATGCTCATCTGCGAGTGCAACATCGACCAGCTGACCGGCGAGCTGTACGGTGAGTGCGGCCAGGACTCGTATAAGGTGAAGTGGTACCGCCTGGAGGCGAATAAGGCGTCCGCCACCAGCTTCGAGGACGCCCAGGAGCCCGCCACTGATTGGGAGAATCATCACTGTCCAATCGACTGCAAGCACAGCGTTTGTAGTGAGACGTCGAACGTCTGCCACGAGGATCGCAACACCAGCGTGTCCACTGCGGAGAGCAGCTCCTCGTTTACCACCTGCTCCGGCTCCGAGGATCCCGTTGAGAAGCTCGAGCAGTACCTCAACCAGTTGTGGAACGAGGAAATCGCGGCCAAAAACAATCCTCATACATATAAGCCCCGCGTCGTGTTCCCGCCACGTGAGCCCTGCCATGCGTGTCACCGGGACTAAGTATTCGTTCTGCTCTCCATATTCTTCACGTACTTTGCGATGTGACAACTGTGGTCTGTCGAAAGCAATCGTTGTTCACATATATATAGTCTGTGTTCCATATATTACATATGGCTTGTTTGTATAATATTAAAGCCAGGGATGCATGCTACGTGAATCAGGGCTGGGCAGATACGAATAGGTAATCGAATGTTAAGCTCCTATAGTCCTATAACCAATAGATTGCTCTCTCTATCTCTCTCTCTGCGTTTCTATTATCCTCAGTCTTTATTACTATTTAAGTAGGTTTTTGGTTTGAGCTTGGCCTATTCTTACTTTTGTTGATAATTTTTCTATATGGCAGCTCTAGCGCCATCTCTTTAGCACCTAGTTTCTTGCAACTGCTGGGGAAGCAGACGACAATCCTGCGATCGCCCACACGCTGCGCACGTTGGGAGCCGTCGCTTATCGGACACCCGCAGATCGCGCTCCTGACAATGGCCACTTAAATGCCATTGCCAGTTGTAATCTTTGCTAAATTGCTGCCTGGGCTACTGTTGTCAACACCCGCCCGCGCTGCCACCCGCCCCTTTCGCTCCGTTTGCAGCTCGTTCGCTCCGGAGGTTCCACATAAATCGCTCGCATTATCTGCGCACTTGCATCGCAGCCACAGGACTGGAATGGGAACAGTGCCAGTATGGCACGGGCTCTCAGGCTGTCGTCGTCGTCGTCGTTCTCGCCTGCTTATCAATCTCGGCTCATCTGCACGCAGCCACCGAACAGAACATCTTCTGCGAAAAATAATTCCGCAACTTGTCACATTTTGTAAACGCGGAGACGCCTCTGCGCCAGTTGTCGGCTGCCAATGGTAATGGCCAGGCTTTGCTGGCTGCCTTGCCGAGTCCTTGAGTGTCAACTAGACTATTTTTGGCAAGCCTTGCAAAGGTGCAACTGCAACTGCAACTGCAACGGCAACAGCAGTTTCCATTGCATGGTATCTCCTCAGTAAAGCCTGACTTATGCTTGAATTCTTGAGTTCTCTTGTTTTGCCTGTTGTTCGCTTAGAGCCGCATTTGCATATAGATTTATTTTTATGGCCATCACAATGGATTGGGGACGTTGAAATCACTTGGTATTTATGTGTGAGCCTCGCTACATTTTGAATAACTGGTTGCAGATACCCGAAGGTATGCTCTGGGAGTAATGTGATATGGCCAGACCAGCACTACGAGCTAAATAGTTGAAGTCTGGCTGAGCATGTTGATAATGAGTGCTCATAGCACGAGATAGCCCAAAGTTATTTTGTTGATCTGCTAATTCGAGCACCTAATATCATCTCCCACACACGAGCAACAATTGCTCGTCTCACTTATCAAATATGAAATCATTTGGTGCAGAACAAAGCCCCCACTTGAGTGTTGAGAATAGAGAATTGAGTAAACAGCGGGAATTGAGTAAAAGCTCGAGTAGTTAATTGTAGACCACAACTCGAACCATTGAACTTTTAAAAAGCAATCAAATTTGCGCCTAATGCGATCTCTTTGAGGCGGTTCCAAGTGCTGATCCACTTGATTGCTGGCATTGTGTGGCTGATACTTAATAGTCTTTTTATAGCTGCACTTTTTCAACTTCAATTAATGAAGTGTCGAGTTGTTAACACTAAAAACAGCCGAGCGGTACTAGCTGTGCACTGGCCATCAGGACGGCCCTAGGGTCGGCACTAGTCGCAGCCTCGGGCACTACGCTTCTTTTTCCAAACATCTTGCCCACCAACAACAAGATGAGCCCCGAGAAACGCTGGGAAAAGCCGAGCAGCAGCTCTTGCTTGGAAAACGTAAACAAACAAATTAAAACGAGTCGAATGGCAGCAGCGGCAGCTCCCGACTTTCGTCTCGGCGTGGCCACCAGGTGAGAAATCGACTGAGAAGTCTCTGGGAAGCCAGCAAAGCAAATACAAACAGACAGAAGCAGCAGCAGCCACAGCCACAGCCGCAGCCACAACCACAGCCACAGAGCAGAAGCTCTTTAATCTTCAGCTGCTGAGTGTTGGAAATGCCTCAAAGTTCTCTCTTAGACGAATTGAGTTATTAATGGGCGGACTTTTTGGAGACAACCAGTCGTGATCTGGCAGTTAACTGTGCTTTAATTGCTCATCAGGCAGCTCGAAACGAGACTGTGACGAAAGGGAAAACTGAAACAGGCCAATTAATCGAGAGTTGATCAAGAAATCGTGCTTCAGCAGATGGAAGCCAGGGTGAAGCTTTTGGCAGCAGGAGAAGAGTACCTTTGAAAAGTATATTGAACTACACAAATAAAGGAAGAGTGACGAAAGCATATAGAAGAAGATTTGGTTCAGGTAAAGGGCTCACAGTTAAGGGAGTGAGAGAAGAAGGGCTTTTAAATATTCATAAAACGATTTTAGGTGCAAATTCGCAATTCGCAGGCATTCCCAGAGACTCTATATATTTGATGACTGAACCAATTGTCTGGGTGTCTGTGGAATGGTTAACCTGACCGAAAATGACTGTGGGAAAAAACAGTTGGAGCGTCAAATGATAAACCTGTTTGTCAATTAAACAAAAATATTGTAATAGTTGATAACAGAATGAGCAAACAGAGCCCTGAGCCCAGCACCGCAGAGGCAACGAAGGCAGCGGAGGCAGCGTCCGCAGATGCCGTTGATGAGAACTTCCCAGAACCAGAACGCTCTGCAGTGAATGTATGAATACCAGAACGAGAATGCAACAACCTGTCAACCCAGCCAAGAGCGGCTGGGGCCCAAAGGCTGGTGCTGGTTCACTCTGGTTCGATGTGCTTGACGCCCGTCCGTTTCATTATCGCCTTCGACTACAGCTTGGGGCTGGTGCCAGGCTTGGATTGTGTCTCCATCCACCTTCGCCTGCCTTGGCTTATTGTTTAGTGAAGCATTTAACTTATAAATATTGTGTGTGGCAGAGAAGAAAAGTGTTTTGTGTATGTGATACCGTTTTGAAATGTGCCAGCAACAGAGACAGCAGAGAGACAGCAGCCGACTAGCCAGCCAGCCAGCCAGCCAGCTTGCCAGCCAGTCAAAGTGGAGGTGTTGAGGACGCCGGGGGTCTTCTCACTCGGAGACGCAACGCCATGAAATATTTCCCATGACAATTCTGTTTGTTTTTCGTGTATTGTCTGACTGACTGCCATGGTCTTGGCACCTAAGCGTCGCTAGCGTTCACATCGTCGCCCACTCGTTGTCCAGAGCACACTCGGTTCACATACAGGGCACATCACACACACACAGGCACATACACATAAACAGTTGGCCAGGTTCACAATGCCTGTGAGTGCACTCTCTATTTGCTTTATCTATGCCCAGGCGCTGTATCTGTTCTGTATCTTACTGTCGTGCAACATTTCCCAGCCAGAGACTTGTTGAAAAAAGCCCTTCAGCTCCATCCCGAAACGGGTCCCAAAGAGCCAGGCCCAACTAAATGGTCAGCCGAATGGCCTTATGCCGGCAATTTTGGCAGCCGTCTAGCACGAGTTGGCATCCCAGATATTCCAAGAACCAGTTTCAACAGCTTACGGCAAAGCTCTAGCTCGCCTTCTCAATACCCTTTCTCTGAACATGAACAATTATTAAGGCTTTAACATTAACAGCGATAGGCTAACAGCCATATTAACATAGTTCGGCACTTTCATATGCATAAGTATTTGTATTTGCCGCTTTTACAAAAGTATGAATTGAAGTTTGTCGTTAGACCGGGACTGGAATTTTGAGGTGTTGCACATGCCACATACAAATTTCAAATAAAAGGAATTTCGAAAGGGTAGACTTATTAGCTTCACAAGTGCCGCCGAAATTCTGTGAAATAAAAATGTTCAACGGCTCCAATGCGATTGATAATTAAAATCGGTTGGGGATGGGGCCGAAATTTCATTCCTGGTCAGGTCAACGTCTGTGCGATTGGGACACTGGTATCCAGTCCACCAGTTGAGGAACTTGTCGGATGGGACTAGCTGGCGCAGCTTGCGCATCTGCCGGCATAGGGCGCAATAGGGATGTCTGTTTTTGTGGATTCGATATTTGGAATGCCAATCGAAGAATCGCTCGTACTGCAGGGGATCGTTTGACAACTTTTCCAGATGTATAGCCAGCATTTCCGGAGTCTCAAAGTCAGCGCTGCTGATGTAGGAGCCAGGCGGAATCAAGCCAGAAACGTTACCACGGCCAATGATGACTGGCACCACGTAGTGGGCCAACGCTTTGTATATTTGCGGATGCACAAAGTCCGGACATTCACTTGACTCAAAGATCAGCATGAATTTATATTGACCGCAGCTGGGGAGAAATGAGATTGGAGTTGAGCTAAAGCAAAGAAAAAAGGAGGCAAGAGGAGCCAGAACACCTACTCTTGGTATCCATGGCAGGTTATGAAGGCATCCAATTGAAGGTAGTTGCGCAGCTTCTGCAGGTAGAGACTTTCGGGCAGGGAATACTCGTTGACTTCGTACACCATGTAAAACACGAGCCGTTGTTTCGTTTGCAGTCTCAATTGGAACGGAGAGAGCAGCTCGCTTGAGTATAGATCCAATAAATTGAAGTCTATATCGGCGAGTGTCTGATGCTTTTGATCAACAGCCGAAAAGTAGTAATCGGTAAAGAGTACGTCTGAGTCGCGCCGATACGTCATGGAGTAGTTAAATACCGAAACACCATGCTCCAACAGTGGATTACGTGCCAAGCTCAATGGGTTTCTGGCCGCAAATACCGCCAAAAAGTACGGAGCGCGATTTACCTTTTCCAGGCCGGCGAGTGAAAAATCTCGATCAGCATTGAAGACAACGGCATGGATTGGCCCGTTGGCGTATTCCCGGTTGTTGGTCAAAACGCAGCCACAATGCAGATATTCCGACGTGACCGGGCTGTTCTCTGTATTCCAAAGCAGTATAGTCTTTCCGCTGGGACGCTTTGCTAGGAGCTTAACCCGACTACTGTGGCCTATGAAGTGCACCATCAACATAATGATCGCAAGACAGACGACGCTCTTCAAAATGGTTAAGTACAAAAACAATCTCTGGCGATCGTAATCGTGCTGGTTCATGAGCACAAGGTTATTCGATAGTTTGAGTTGCTCGGAGCCCAGTTGCACGGGCTTGTCCTTGACCATCTTGACGGCTGGCACATGGAGCAGCTGCGAATGCGTTTCGGATTTATGTGTTTTGCTATAAATTTTGTCGGCTGACATTTTATGAATTTTTCGTTAGAGTTCTCAAATATAAAATGGCATGTTTAATTGAAATCTAAAAATGAATCGAACAGAAGTCCCAATATCAGCATCAATGCCAACTTTGATCTTGTGGATTTCGAATCCTGGTTGACCTACAGACTAAGCCTTGATTAGAATGGGGAACTGATGAATGCATAGTCTGGTTTAAAATACTTTATTGTGATAGTTATACAGTTAACCGAAAGAGTAGTAAACAATTTGATGCTTAAAGATGACGTTGACGTGTTGTTTAGTTAGTCCTCGGAGCCCGGGCACTGGTAAACTGTCCACCACTGAACGAACTCAACAGAGATGCGCTGGCGTCGACTACTCCGCAGCTGCTTGCAGAGGGCGCAGTAGGGCTGCTTGTTGTAGCTGATGGCGTACTTGGAGTGCCACCAGAAGAACTGCTCGTACAGCAGCGGTTGTGAGGAGATCATCTGCAGGTGCTGTGCCAGCTCGAAGGGGGAATGGAAGTCCTCGTCGCTTATGTAGGAGCCCGGTGGAACCAGCTGGCTGAGATTACCGCCCCCAATCAGCACAGGCACCACAAAGTTGGCCAGCGCCGTGTAGAAATGCGGGTGCACATAGTCCGGACAGCGTCTGCTCTCGAATATCAGCATGAACTTGTAGGGAGCGCAGCTGATTTGAAAACGAAGAAGAATACAGTCTAAAGCTAAGGCGAGCTCTAACTAGAATTAGTTACTTATTGGTGGTGTGGCAGCTGTCAATGTAGCTCAGTTCCAGGTGCTCGCGCATCTGCATCAGGTAACGGCCCTGTTTGGTGCTGGCATTCATATCCTTGCACTGCATATACATGGCCAGATACTGCTTGAAGCGCAAGTTAAGGCGCAGGCGGGAGGACACTTTTGACGGCAAACGGTTCATGAAGCTAATGACGGGTGCTGTGAAGTTGACGACGCGCTCAGATGGTCTGCCGAGCCTTGAGAAGTAGTACTCCGCCCACACCAGATCGGAGTCCCAGCGATAGCTCATCGAGTAGTTAAAGATGGATTCGCCGTGTATGTTTATCGGATTCTGGTCGAGATGTGGCGGATGCAGGTTAGCATAAACCACCAAATAGTCGGGAGTGTGCGCGACCTTATCGAGCCCATCCATTGAGTAGGGTCTGTCTGCGTTGACAACGACGGCATCTATGGGCAGTTTAGTGTAGTTCCGATTGCTGGTTATCACACAGTGGCACTGATTGCTGTCCAGTCCGTTGACATTCTCATCGTTCCAGAGAAGTATGGCCACTTCAGGCTGGTATTTATACTCTCTGTCGATATGTCGCGGCACGAAGTGCAGCAGTACGAATATTCCCGAGAGACATATAATCCATTTCAAGATCAGATTGCGACTGTTCGTCAGTCGACGGGACATACCCGAGCTACGCGACGGCGGAGGGATCTCAATGAAACTTTCTGTGTCAGTATTGTTTGAGCTATCCTCCACATCGCTTTCCTCCAGTCTCCTGCGCGGTGGATGTTGTCGACTGCTAAGTATTTTGCCAATGGGCATGCCGCGAAGCCTGTCGATAGACATTCTGCTGTATTTTATATGAATGTATAGATCATTTGATTTTTGTCAAACAATAGGCTTGCACTTTATCCAAGATTTTGACTTAAATGGAAATGCTTTTTTTTTTTTTCAATGACAACTATGTTTATGTTTTCAACAGTTTTCTCAAAGTAGCTGGTATTAGATTTATATTGTGAGGAAAAACGTTAGAGATCAAGATACGGAGTAAGAGAGAGAAAGAGAGAGAGATAGAGCGACAGAGAAATCAATCATTCCATTTTCCAATTTGCAATCGCCGAGTTTTGCAATGTGGCCGTTCTTTGTGCGAATTGAAAAGTGCTGCCAGTTCCTGAAATTTAGCATAAAATTCACTTTCCCTTGGCTTCTTCCGCTCGAGAGCCCCTGCTGGAGTACCCTGGCTGGCGTTCAGTCAAACAGGAACCAGGCAATCAATCATTTTGGCTAAGCCATCAGCAACATGACAAATCTAGCCACAAAGTTTGCGTAGCTCGCATCGGTGTCAGAAATTGAGGAAATATTGTGCTCCTCGTCTCCGTCGACGTCTCCATCTCCAAGTCTGAGTCCGACATTGGCACTGTCTGGTAATCCATTGATGATATATCACTGCAATTTGGAATATTCATTTGCCAACTTTTGTCGCTGCTCATTTGGAATGCGGCACACAAACCCGCCAAGGATGTGGCTGGCGTTGGCCATTGGGCTGGTTAAGAACGTGCCGATGGCACTGACTGACTGTCAAAGACTTGAACCTGGTATTGCTTGAGAGGCAGTCAGATTTTTCCGATTGACGAGCACTTGAGTGCAACAAAGACAGAGACAGGAAGCAAAAGGGGAGAGGAGGGTGCGGAGTAGAGAGAGAGAGAGAGAGAGAGAGAGTAAGGATTCGCCTGGGCACGTAGCAACAGTTGCCATGCAAATTGCCAGCGCCAGCTTTATAAATAATGCCTCGTTTATGTGCGAAAGTGAAATTGGAATCGCAGACGAGCCACAAGCACAGAAAAACGAATTAAGAGGGCAGTGAAAGAGGAGGAGGCAGAGATGGTGGAGGCGGAGGCGGAGCGGTGCTGGTGTAACTGCAGCAGAAGGCTAACCACATTAGAAGTTGGGGGTGAAGCGGCGACTAAGCCCAAACGAAACACATATAAATTTTAATTATTCCAGCGAATCGCTGCCAAGGCTGAGGCTGAGGCTGATGCTGAGTCTGAGTCTGAGACTGTGGCTGACTCCAAAAGGCAGCACAAAGCGTGGCTAAACAAAAGATGCGATACGATTGCATTTGGTGGAGGCTGTGAGACGTCGTAGTCACAACCTGGACCTGTGGACCTGGACCTGGACCTGGCTCTGGCCCTGACTGTTGCTCCTTGCTGTTTGTTGCTTGGCAAGTCGCAAACTTGGAGAATGGAATTGAAATTCCATTGTGATTTTTGGGGGCGTTGCCGCGTCGAAAAATGCAATAAATATGCATATGAGAGAGCGTTTCGCCGAGAATTATGGCTCACAGCGTACAGTAAAGATTTGAATAATTTGGTTCCCACACTCCAAAAGTTAGCTCCAGTTCCAAATCCTCAAGAGGCCACCACAAATATGATGTGAATGCGAAAAAGTCGCCAGCTACACAGATTCTCGACTCACTCATAATTTTAATTAAAGTTATTAATAGGCCACGTCAAGATTTCCATTGTGATTTACCTGGCTCTCCATCTCGCTCTCCCTCGCTCTCTCTCACTCTCGTTCTCTGTCGTCTATCGTCTGACTCAGCTGCTGAGGTGTCCTTAAGCCTTGGCTCAATTAAATGCCGCACACATTGTGTTGGCAACTGCTTAATTATCGAGAGCCGGCTCCGAGAACCCAGTTCAAACGTATCAAGCAACATGCAACAATAACAAAAGGACGCCGGCGGCAAAGTCGCCACCTCAGAGACGCCGCACGAAATTGGACTTGATTGCGCCGCTGTAGCTGTCTTCGTAGCCCCGATATATATTGCTAGGAATTAACATGTAATTATCTCAGCTTGGTCTTACTCGAGAGCGAGACTCGAAATGAAACGCAACGAATCGCCGGCGACACCCAAACCAAAAACAAACTGCGTCTTGTTACCGCAGCCAGGACGCCTCGTCGACTTGTGCGTGGCCTAGGCCACAGCTGCCTACAGCTGCGGGGCGTGTCTTAGTCGGACTTGGTTCGATTCCCAATTCCCTGACTACTCGACTGCTCGACGGCTCAACGTCTCGAGAGAGACTCCTCGCTTCTTTGACCACCCGCGCTTGTGGCGCTAAAGTTGTCAGTTTGACCCTAATTAGGTGTTATCTAACTGACCCGGCTATTGGTTAACTGTGTGGTTATTGATGTGCCGACACGTTTTCACTTCTTCATCTCTCTCTCTTTCTCCCTTTCACTGACCTCTGCCATTTCCTGGCTGTGCGTTCTTGTCTCGCCATGATTCACCATGTCCCACGCTTTATTTGGCGCCACTCGTCGACTGTCACAATCGACTGCTGACCCACAAAGCAACGCTCAGTCTCACTCAAATCTCAGTGATTATCACTGCCCGGCACCGGACCATTGTCCGAGTGCCTATTGTCATTATCAATATAAATAAATCCCCTTAACCGAATTACCCCCGAGGCTGTCTGTCGTTCGCGTAAACAGTTTGATGATGGCAATCAAGTTCAGTTGGCCCCGTTGGGCCAATTGGTTCCCCTGCTCTTATTGTCACGATCGACGCGAATACGCTGGCCTCCGCCCGGTGGCCCCCACTGGATGACACATACGCCTCAGTAGCCCGGATGCAGGCACTTGCTGTCCGCTGATTGATGCGCAGGCGGCAGTCTCCGTCTGTTATTGCCGCTGCTGCTGCTCATTGCTCAGCTTTCCACTTGTCGTCGTTGTTGAAATACGGAAAAGTGATGTAAACCAGGAATTCCGCTCGACATCTTACGAAATTTTAAATAAATAAATCCACAACAACAGCAACATTCGTTCCTTAAATGTTTCTTAATTAGCTCATTGCTTCAAGTAATCAGAATTCAGATAAACTGAAATGCAGCAAGAAACTTAGATAGGTTTATGACAAGATGCTCCTGAGAATAAGTTGAACTGATTAACTTAAGCTTTATGAGTGTGACCTAAGTTAAGCTTATTCGAGTTGAAGTAGTAGATGGAAGACAAAGGTTTATGAACTAAGGTTCTCGCTTCTACTAAATTTTTAATGAAATGGGAGTAACTTCCACTCAGTTCACTGCTTTATTGCACTTTTTTACATAAAGTGCTTTGCATTCATTCCTTGAGCTTTCCTTTCTTGTTACTTATCTCTATTGGAATAAAATCCAATCTTCTGCCATGGAAACTTTCAAAACTTCTTAATAAATACTTGTTTAATTAACTTTACTACTCTCTTTGTTTAAGTTCATCTGCCTCAGTTCCAGCTTGAGCTCCAGCTCCAGCTCCAGCTTCAGCTTCAGCTGCAGCTTCGGCTTCTTCCTGTTTCGCTCTTTCTTTTTCCTTTTATGCAGTTTTTATTTACTAAACTCATAATCTAAGTTCCTGTTTACTTTTAGTTCGCATTTGGTATTTCCACTACTATTCCGTTTGCGCTACGTAATTTCTTGGCAGTCTGTTTTCGCTTCCTCTTTTGTCATTCATCTTCTCCGCTCCGCGCGCCTTTCGGCAGTCATGCATATTTCATAGTCCTTTTGTCTCCCTTTGCGTTCCTCCCACATTTCGCTGCACTCCCCGGGGGGCGCTACCGTGACGACGAGACACGGACAATTATGTAAATAACGGAGGCGCCTGCTCTGGCATAGACGCCGGGGAATACAATGGGACAACCGCAATTATTGCCGACCATTTGGCAAATGAATGCGTGACAAAACGCAGAGAAAACATTGAGAGGAATAAAAGACGGGGACGCAGAGACAGCCAGGCGCAAGGACACGGCCGAGGTCAGGACAATAGACGGCGCAGCGGGAGTGGCAGCGAGGTCAAAGGTCAGCCGCGCTAATGTTGTGCTAATTGCGATTGGAACGCGGCCCAAACAACAAGCGACAAGCGACAAGTGACACGAGACAGTCGGCGCTTAGCCTAATTGAAGTGTTGGCCTTGTCCACGGCAAGATTTACGACAATTACCGAAGGAGGTAGCAAAGGCTATTGCATTCAATAGTCGACCACCCAGTAGGGCAGCGAGAAAGCGACCTGATGCTTCACTCTCTGTCCGCTGTCCACTGTCCACTGTCCGCTGGCTGCTGGCTGCTGTCTGCTGTCCGTCTGCGTGCAGCATCCTGGCTGGCGGTCGATGAGCCTAACCCAGCTCCAATGTCGCTCGAGCTGCTGTGGGGGGCCGCCTCGCATGCGCCTCGTAACTCGATCCTGCGCACGCGTGGCCCAAGCAGCCAGCCTGCTCGAACTTCGGCGTCCTTCGGCGCTTGTCGGGCCAACGGCTGTGATCTTTAACTTTTTTCGCTTTCGCTCAATTGGCGGCAGTTATGGACCGATCTGGCCGGGCCAGGTGTGATGTGTGTCGATAGCAATGCCAAAAAAATTTGAAACTGTAACTGGATCTGCAGCAGCAGCTCGGCTTCGGTCAGAGTCCTTGCGGAGGTCCAGATCGTATGCAAAGTAGACCACCAATTGCTTAAACGGCTGCTGTTGCCTCAGGGGCCAACAACATTGTCTGCTCCTTAGGCATACCCTAACTCTGGCTGAGGTTCCTATGATGAAGTGAGGGCCTTCGGGGTTATTTAAGGAAAAGAGTCTCAAGTAAACGAGTTTTATATGTGTTCGGAGAGAAGGAGAAAAACATAAGTAAAGCAAAAGCTAATAGTAAGCAATAATCAAGTGGAAAGTGTATTTAGAAGTCGTGTTGCCTAGGTAATTTCTTGTTCTTTGTGCTGTGCTGCTTGCTGACCACCAAAGTTGATTGAAATTTTGGCAATGACCCCAGAAGTTGTTGTTGGGCAGCTGCTGCTGTTTGACTGAATGTGGCAGCTGCTGCCGCTGCTGCTGCCGCTGGTGCTGCCTGGCATCAGCTTCGCCCACTGAGCAGGTCGAGGAGCGAGCGACGGAGCGTTAAAACGCACACGTTGACAGCTTTTTCATTATTTAAGTTTCTTTTGCCTCTTTGCTGTGTTTTGTGTGTGTGTGTGTGTGTGTGTGTGTGTGTTCGTGGCAGTTGCTGTCGGCCTTTTGCAGTTGCATTTGCAGTCGCTTAATGTGCGATTTTATCTGCAAGATATAAATTGTAATTATTGCATTGTCTCTCTCGCTGAGAGGGGCCAAGTTCTTATCAGCAGCCAGCGCTGACGAACATTAGCGAAACACAGCAAAAACTGAAATAATTGCAAATGAGTGTCGAAATAAAACACAGCCGCCCACACGCTGCTGTACAGGTAAGCATGGGGCGTGGCAGGCGCAGGAGACTCAAAGGCAAAGGGAGAGGGAGGGAAGGGCTTTTTCTCTCTGCTTACAGCTGTTGCGACTGCGCATTGTGTGTTTTTGGTGCTTGGCTGGGAAAACGCGCTGGAAAGACAAAGCATAACAAATTGCTCAATGTTAATGTTGTTGTTGTTGTTGCTGTTGCTATTGTTGTTGTTGTCGTTGCTGTTGCTTTTCGCGCTTTAACACTCTACTGTTTCTTTTTGGCTGCCCAGAAAATTGATGATGTCGACGTCGACGAGGACGTTGAGTTATGGCCAGTGCAGAGCTGTGACAGCTGCCAGCTGTCAGAGCAAGAGAGAGAGAAGGCCACAAGCGCAGCCAGAGAAAAAGAAAGAGAGCGAGAGAGACAGCTAGAGATGGTGGATAGAATTCAACAGCTGAGTGACCACCCAATAGCCACAGCAGCAGCAATCGCTGCACATTAGGCACTATCAAAGGAAAATACATTTTAATTACCACGCAATGTGATGAAAATCGCTGCAGGCCACTGCGAGGGGAGCCCTTCGAGTTTGGTTTGTGCTGCCCTAATCAATGGAATGCTGCACATACGTACATTTTTCTTTTGGGGGAGGGTTGGGGGGCGACGTCCAACGGTGCGTATGAAATTGGAAATCAACCAAACGCTGCGACCACACAAGGCTGCTGCGGCGCCGCCCAATGCAGCCCAACATGAGAGACCTCGCTCCGCTCCACAGTTGACGTTGATGGAGCTGTCGATGATGCGTTGCACTCGCGCTGCTCACATTTTGTTAGTTGTTATTAACTGATTTGTGTTGCTGCAGCGGCTCTGATTGATGCCCCCAACAACGAACAGACGCCAGCCGAGGCCAGGGCCAGGGCCAGGGCCAACAGCAGCGCCTTCTGAATCGCCTTCGTTGCGGTCATGGCCCGATAATTGATATATGTTACGACCGCTCTCTCTCCCTCTCTCTCTCTCTCTCTCTGTCTCGCTCTATCTCCCTCGGCGGATCAAAGTGCGAGCAGTCATCACGATGATTTGATTAATTTGAATGGAGTTCTCTTGGAGTGTTGATGGCCAAACTCTAATTAAAACATATAAATTCAGACCCTAATCGTAGTCAACTAATTTCAAACTTTTCCTTTATAACTGCGTGTGTCTGTGTGTGTGTGCGTGTGTTAATGTGTGGAAAGTGCGCAAGATTTTGACAACTGGTTCTCAGCGCCGTTGACAACAAAATACGTGGAAAATAAAACATTAAACAATCATAAATACAATTTTCCCACAGCGCCACACACACAGTGAAAGCGCGTGTGCAAAGTGATAGACTAGAAGATGACTTGTAATTCAAAAGCTTCGATTGAGAGTGTGAATTGAGAGAAATCTCTCTCAGCTCTCATATACAACTGTATATGTATGAGGGAGGTCTTTGAAGAGAACTCTTAAATTAATTCTGAGATCCATATATGTATATACCCTAATATACATATATATACCCCTTTGCATTGCCAATTTCTTGCAGGGTATAATGAAAACGAGCAGCGGTCGAGAAACTTTTGTAGTACATGAAAATGTCATTCGCATAACACAGCCCAAGCGACAACAGCAACAAAATGTTGTTGTTGTTGTTGTTACTGCTGACAACAACGAAACGACGCACAAAAGTTTCAATCTTTCTTGGGGCTATCAGCCACGCCCTGCGCCCCGCTCAGCTGTAGACCAAGTTGGTGGCACCTTTGCGGTTGACTGTTATTATTGTTATTGTTGTTTTGTTGTTTTGTTATTTCAAGATAACAACCGACAACAACAACAACAACAACAGCAGCCGCAGCAGCAAAATGTTTGATGTACTTCAAACTGAATGTTTTGCTTTAATTTGCTTATGCGACTTGACCTTTTTCTTACTTTTTTCTTAATCGTCGCACTTGCCAATTAAGTCTTTGTCAAATTTTCGGTTGCGCCCTGAACTTTTGACCTGTTCGCACGCTCAGCTGTGGCTTGATTCGCCTCTTTGTTGGGGCAATTACACTTAACACAGCTACACATTTTTGCTTTCAGTGTACGCTCGAAACAGTGTGTGTGTGTGTGTGTGTGTGTGTGTGTGTGTGCGTGTGTGTGCGACAAGCCCTCGGTTATCATCAGAACTTTTAGCCGCCTCATTGCAGACAAGCCGAAATATGAAATTGTTTTCCCACGCAAATTAACACTCGACTTTGTTTTCATATTTGCACAAGATGACTTCATTTTCTTTGCCTGTTTTTTATTGCTGTTGACTTGGCTTACAGCGGCCGGGCCAGCTTGCACTGCTCGGACTCCAAAATACACCACACACAGTTGCTGCTGTCTCATTGTTGTGGGTGCCGCGTTGTCATTATTTCAAAATAGTGTGCGTGTGTGTGTGTGTGTGTGTGTGTGTAAGTGCCACAATTTACAGTCACATGCATTGTCGATGACTCGTCGTCGACTTTGAAAGTTGAGGTTACAAAATGTTGCCAGGAATTCGTTGACACATAACTGAATAGATTGAAATTTGTGGTATTTGCTATATGAGCTAATCATAGAGGTACGTGAGTAACATCATAAGGGTATACAAATATAATAGGCAATATATTGAAATTGAGTTTAGCACAGCTCTGAGTAGATAACACTGAGAGATAGGAGAAGAGGTCGGATAGCAATCGGCAGTGCTCGAATGTCTTAGCCAAAGGTCAAATGTAGCTGGGAATGCAATTTAAGAGTCTACAGCTACATCCTATAACAGCTATTTATATATT